TTCTTGGGAAATGTTTCATTGCTCAGAAACAAGACCACCCGTTTTTAGTAGTAAGGATCAAAAGAAGAACCAGTAAAAACAAGATCCTTTGAGTGCTGGTGTTTGAACTGGAATCTCACAGTTTGCTGTGTGTATGGACAGTGTATCTGCAGTCTGTAGCATGACTGAATTTAATTTCGACCCGTCTAGACTGCTGTTACTCCTTCTGTGACTCCAATGAAGAGTAAGGGAAATTCTGTTCTCTGCTTTTATGCTTAGCTTTGGACTCTTTGGAAGTGAGGAAGCCTCAACAGCCAGACTCAATTGCAAAAGGTGAGAAACTTAAACTGGGATTTGAACCTCACGTTAAAAGAAGTATGGGTGGGATTTGATGAAGGATGCAGAGCTATGAGGTTGATACAGGAACAGAGAGAAAAAAAAGCAGCAGATGGAGAGTAGGGCTGTAACATACGAATGGAAGCTGAATAGGCTAGGAACACAGGTGAGAAGAAAAGCAGATGCCCTGAGCAGAAGGAATGAAAGTAGAATTGGAAATCAGGAGAAATCTGGGCTGGCGCTGGGACAGGTAGGAAAGAGGGCAGCAACATTAGAGGACATGTTGCGACTGGAAGTGGGACGTTTGCAATAGGGCAGGTTAAGGAGAAAATATCTGTAACATTTAGTTTTCTCTGCAAATTTGGCACTGAATCAAAGCACAAACATTTGTACAAATAGGAGTGTATATTGTAATTACTCTCAGTATCTTAGATCTGGAACTGACCCATCTGTGGATTCAGGATGATTTCATAACTTACAAGGTTTTTTTTTTCTATTTTTAAACTGAACAAAATGTTTAAAATATATCCTAAAGAGCTTTAGTTTGGTACAGTCAAGTTTGCAAAATTAGAAAGGGTTGGTGTTTTATATAATTTTGGAAGGACTTCATCCAGTCCAACCCCCCTGCCAGAGCAGAATTGCCTGGAGAAGATCACACAGGAACTCATCCAGGCAGGTTTTGAATGTCTCCAGAGAAAGAGACTCCACAACCTCTCTGGGCAGCCTGGTCCAGTGCTCCGTCACCCTCACAGTAAAGACCTTTTCCCTTATGTGTAGGTTGAACCTACAACCTATATATATGGTCACCTATATTGTGACTATATGTGTAGGTTGAACCTACAACCTATATATATGGTCACCTATATTGTGACCATTGCCCCTTGTCCTGTCGCTGGACATAACCAAGAAGAGTCTGGTCTCATACTCCTGACCCACCCTTTAGATATTTCTAAGCATTAATGAGGTCCCCCTTCAGTCTTCTCCAGGCTAAACAGACCCAGCTCTCTCAGCCTTTCCTCATATGGGAGATGCTTCAGTCCCATCATCACCTTAGTGGCTCTGCCCTGGCGTTTCTCCAGTAGTTCCTTGTCCTTCTTGAACTGAGGAGCACACAATCGGACATAGTATTCCAGATGTGGCCTCACCAGGGCAGAGTAGATTGGGAGAACAGCCTCCTTTGCCATACTGGCCATACTTATAAGAAGTTGGAAATGCTAAGTGAATCTCACTTTACAGAAATGTGTGGTAGAAATCTTTGAATATCAATATTAGATTAAGCTGTGCTGGATGTCTTATGTGTTTCCTCTATTCAAAACAACAGTTGGCTGTCATACTTTCTTCAGTATACAAACTATGTGATTTTACCATGAAATCTTTCAGTTTACTCTTATTGTATCCAGATTTTGAATAGAAGTTGTATCACATTATCCACCATTTCCAAAAACAGCCTCCTCTGACTGAAAAAGTCTTAAACTCATCCTTACAAACTAGAGTTTTAGTCCCTCTCTGAATATTCATTCTTCTGTTTTAGTCTAGAAACGAAATTTTTGTTAACTATTGACCGGTCATCCTAATGGCACAGAGATATCGTAGGTTGAGACCTCATTCCAGATAATTCTTACATGTAGGTTTTCTTCCAGTTTTTTCATTAGCTCAATCTGTAATTTCCCTTTCATTCCCAACCCTCATTCTTCTGTGAGACAAAAACCTCTTCTCTTTCACTACATCAAGTTTGCTAAAATTTCTTAATAGAGAAATATCCTGCACACCCACATTCCACTTTTTTTTCCATAACAATATTATTAAAGCATAGGGTGGTTTTGTTTTCTTTTGTTTTCCCGTAGAGCTCATCTAGGCAGATTAAGGAACGTATTTTGACATTGTGCTATGCTCATGCACACACACTTGGGCTGAAATAGTAGCCAAGAAACCAGAGATACAATCTGGCCAAGTAGTAGCAAATATGACAAAAAAACTCTGAATGGTGCTATGGAGAAGGAGCTACTACTGAGCTCAACAGTGTAGTAAGGTCAAAAGAAAACTGACCCTTCATAACCTTAGCAGTACAAAACAGATAATGCACATGTAAGCTGCTTCAAGTTTCCAAAACAAAGTACAAATTCTTTTCTGAAGTTACTGTTCATGATTGAATTGATAAACATGCTCTGGAAGGACCCAGATGGTTGAGTACAAAATCATTACAAAATCATCAGAGAACTGCAGCCTCTTCTGGAATATCCAGAAAGTATGTACAGAGGAGTATGTGTAGCCTATGTTTATGCATGCTTCCAGCATGTAAGTTTTGTATAGAACAGCTCATTGAACCTCAGGCTAATTTAAGGTCTGAAGCTGTGTACAGGAAGGCATTGCCATTTTTTTTGTGTAAAGGCAGAAAATGGGAATTTGTTGTTGAAAGTCAATAAATATGACTTGTAGATAAATTTCATGTCTGTGTTGCATTGCACATCAGTTGGCTGGACCGTGTATCTTTGTGAGGACTTACTTATTTTGGAATAAAACAGTCTTCCTGGGCTTGTAAACAATGTGTACAGCAGAACAGATCTAGTGTTGTGTCTGCAGCCAATCATGTACCAAGTGTGGAGCATTTAAGAGTCCTGAAACTATTTTGTGTGGAAAATTGTAAATAGGAACATACAGTCAGGGAGCAGTGCTGAAATACTTAAAGTATGAGCACTTTAAAAGCATCCTCAGGCAAAATTGCCAGCAGTAGTCCATAACCAGATAATGGGCATTTAGCAGTTTGAGTGCGATAACTCTGAGAACAAATGTCGTACTATTGAAAAAAAAAAATTGTTTTCTAAAGAGTGAGCTTTTCAGGAGCTCAGTAGCAGAACTTCCAGTCTCTGCTCACGCAGCCTGTGTGGGAACAACCTCATTCATGCATTGGGCTGCTTACTTATACAGGGATGTCTGCAGAGTGATTATAAAGGGCATCATAATGACACCTGTTTGTTCTGTTCAAGTTAATTCCAGTGAAAATTGCTTCCTCTTTGTGCCTTAGAAACATTCCTACATCTGAAATCCTCAGGGAAAATATCTGAAGTAATCCTCTTGTTTTTATTAAAGACTCAATCCCACCTAAAGATCAGGTGCTAAATAGGATGGAGTTGTGTTGCAACTGCTGTTTGACAAACGACAGCTAATGTAACAGCTATGCTGGGTGAGAGTAAAGGTTTATCTGGCATTCTGACAATTTGTTGTTAAGTGACTTCTGTGTGAGAAGTGCCATCCTGCATTTAATAGTTGTCAAAGGATTTCTCTGCTGAGAGTTTGTTCAGTATCCTCTTGAGTGTTAATTTTTAGCATCCACAGTATCTTAAGGCATTTCACGGCTTGCATGTGTGAAGAACTTCTATTTGTTTTCATTCTGCCTTTACTAGCTTTATTAGATGCCTTCTCATTCATCTAGTGGAAAATGATTCCTGTTTTCATTTTCCATGCCACTCATAAGGTTTCAGGCATCTCCTATTTCTTCCTTTTCCTTACACCATCCCTCCTCCAAGCTATAAAGTCCTAGCTTGCTTGTGTAATGTCTTCCACACAGTGTAACTGTCAAATAATCCTTATTACCTTTCTCTGATGCTTTACCAGTTCTTCTACGTTCCTTGGGAGGTAAGGTACTAGCACAGTAGTCAGCATTCAGTATGCAGGTAACAGCGTGGAATTGTCACATGACATGGCAATGTCTGCATTTTCTATATGACTTTCACAGTAATTCCCAAAATGTTGGTTTTGACCATTATTTCAAACTGAGACAAAGTTTTCGTGGATTTGTCTGGTGTAACCCAAAGATCTCATTTGTGAATGAAAATAGTCAGCTGGGAGTTTATCATTTTATGTATATGGTTAGGATAATTTTTACAAGCTGTGATGTACTTTGCATATATCTCCTTTGAATTTCATATGTTGTTTAATGCTAAGTTTCATAAGGTTTTCTACTTTTCTTCATGTCACCCTCATTTTTTACAGTCCAGCAATTTAGTATTCTATCAGGAAACTTTTACCTCTCTTTTTTGAGATTACCTGCTAAGTATAATCAGTAGAATGATTGAAGTCCACTTCTAAGTGGAATGTTATTTATCTGTCACCTATAATTACCTTATAGTGATATTCTCAAAAGTATATTTTGTTTCTGCTTTTTGAGAAGGACCTGTGGTTCTGAATTACTGTGGAAATTAATGCCCTGTTGTGGTCTGACATTTCTTAATATCTTTGGGTATGGGAAAAAGCAGTGTAGCTGATATGCATGATATCCTAAAGGGATATCCCAAGGGATGTGCCATTAATATCACTGAAGTCTAAAAAAGACTCCAATGCATATATCTGTGTACAGAAAAAGAGATTCACGTTGATCTAACATATTTTTAAAAAAATATGTACTGTAAGGTCATTGTCATTTGATCGTGCATTAACCACGTATTCAGAACAGCCATGGATGGAGTTTTACACGTACTATGGCTTATTGTCATTATAGCATTGAATTTTCCTAATGATGTCTCAAATACAGATTACAATAGTTAACCATACTAATACTTATTACACTCTTAAAAATACTGTATTAATTTCTAAAATTTATACCTGTAATGAACAGAACTAGCATATGTGTTATGGTTGTTTATTTTTGAATTCTCAAAACTCTTTTTTTCTTTTTTTTTTCCTTTTAGGTATAGACAAATGCAGCTTGGCACAGAAAGCAAAGTAGCTGAACTTCTTCACCAGAGTAAGTTGAAGTCTTTTGAAAGTGAGCATGTTCAACTCGTGCAACAAGAAACAGCTAAGAATCTTTCACAGTGCCAAATGGAATGTGAGAAATATCAGAGAAAGCTGGAGGTATGTTACATGAAGAGACACATAGGTTTTTTAAATTAGAATTTGAGATGGAAAAGCTTGGGGAAAAAGTGGCAAAGAACATCCATGGTTGAACTGGTAACTCCACCAAATTCTGCTGAAGCAGAATCTAATGGCAAAGCTTATTAAGTTTGACCAGTCCAATGGAAAACAAGACCTAGGGGAGAGGAAGAAGGCAAAACAAGCTCTCATGGAGACATGTTGAAGACAGTACCTCATTCATGTGAATTGTATATATGTATGTAGACAGGGCAACATGCTATACCATGATCTTCTCCACAGGCTACAAGCGAATCCCTGCTCTGGCACCTGGAGCACCTCCTTCCCTCCTCCCACCTTGGTGTCTGCACTAAGGCTGTTTCTCACACTTTTCCTCAACCCTCACAGCTGTGCAGCATTTTTGTTCTCTCTGAAATACATCTTCCTCATGGTGCCACCACCTTGGGCTCAGTTGTGCCCTATGCTGGGTTGGTTGGAGCCGGCTGGAACCGGCTGTGTACAGCACGAGGCAGCCCCAGCCTCTTCTCACAGAGGCCACCCTGCAGCCCCCACTGCCAGCACCTGAGCACCTGCACCCATTGCACCCATTTACACAGAGTTGAATGACTTGGACCTTTTTATCTCTACAAGCTTAGAATTTATTTTCTTTCGAACATGTGCATTCCAAAATGTATCTCATCCTGTTCATCTATTTTAGTATTGGAAATGTGTCCAGTTTTCAGCATTGCAAATTTACTTTAAAACACAATTCATTCACCTGTGCAAAGTTAGTCCCAAAATCATATCACTGAGTCCAGTTTGTGAAATTTAATTGAGATTGGCAGTGTATGTCTAAAACAAATGTCAGGATACAAACTGGACAGGACAAAATAAAAACCTTTTTTCCAAGTGCCAGCTGTGGCAGCCTTCATTTTTTGGAGAAGGATGTTGTTCTTCAAGTCCCCACATTTCTAGTGCTGCACCTGCCTAGGGTGTTTATGAGAAGGAACTATAGAGTGGAAACAGAATTAGAGTTTTAGAATTACAGAGTTACGTGTTCTTGTTTTGTCTGTATTGGGACATTCAGATCCCAGCTGATGAGGTTAGTTGTGGTCATGAGCACTGGGAGTGCCAGTTTTGCTAGACTTTGAGGTTGCTAAACAGATTTTTTAATTGCACAGACATGTCTAAACCTTGAGAAGATGTCTTTTTACAAGGGCGCGTAGTGATAGGACAAGGGGTAATGGCTTTAAACTGAAAGAGGGTAGATTTAGATGACATATTGTGAAGAAATTCTTCACTGTGAGGGTGGTGAGACACTGGCACAGGTTGCCCAGGGAAGTTGTGGATGCCCCCTCCCTGGAAGTGTTCAAGGCCAGGCTGGGCAGGGGTTTGGGCAACCTGGTCTGGTGGGAGGTGTCCCTGCCCATGGCAGAGGGTTGGACTGGGTGAGCTTTAAGGTCCTTTCCAACCCAAACCATTCTGTGATTCTATGACATTTGAGTTATATTTCCTTTTTCTTTGTGGATATTTATTTGAATATTTGGCATTCAATTCCACTGACGCTTTTGGTACTTTTTCTCTTTAGAGAGGCGCTTTGAAATATTAAGAAATATTCTTCCAGAATTTTAAATACTTGATATCTGAAGCTTTTAATTTTATTCCTTTTGACTGAGTTTTTAATTTAAAAATTTTCCTTCTTATATATAGTATGAATGTACTAAGGGTTTTTTCTTACCCTTCTTGTAGGATATTGATCTTAATTAACAGTGTATTCATTAGTGTCTTGTGGCTCAGCTACAGCTGCTTTATGAACCAGCTCTTGTTTTTATTTGGATTTCAGCATATAGCAGTTTCTCTCCTTATGCATGCTAAAACTAGTAAATAGACGGTTTATATGTTGAAGAATTTTAACCTATACATTTATTCTTCTGTGACACTAGACCAGTTTTTTCATATTTGAGTGGCTTTGTACATTCTTTATTGTTTTTGACAGTGAATCTGGTATTACTGCTGTATACACTATACATATATTTCTGTATCTGAAGATCTATATTGAGTTGTCATCTTGAATGTTTGGGGTTTTTATTTGGGAAGTTATTATTAAAAGTACTACAGTACTACTTGGTTATTACTTTACCTGTTTTGATTTGATTTTTTTTCTGCAAAGCATGTAGATTACTGCTTTACTTACCAAGGATTTTTTTTATTCCAGTTGTTTTTATAATATATAGGTTGTCAGTGTTGTTTTCTATTTTCAAGTACTCAAACTATAGTTTTATATGGACCTTCATAAGTTTTACTTTTGAATATGTGCTTTTTTGTTTAAGCTCAGTGGATTAAGTATTTACATTAATCCTGAATGTTAATGCCATATTACCTTTCAGTAATAAACAGTAAGAATCTGGTATGTTTTAAATATGAAATTTTGATATTCATGCATTTACCATTCTGTAAAGGAATCTTCTTTTTTTAAATTGATAACTAAAATCGGAATCCAGTTAAAGAAACAAAAATAAATGTATTTACACTGTTTTGTCTGTGTGCATTAATTTTTTTTAACTGTTACCTTGCTTTTCCTAACTCTCCTTTAAAATTCTCATAGATTTTTCAGACAGAGATTCTTAAAATTACTAAGGCTTTAGGAGACAAGCATAGGGGATATGACCCGAGAGTGTAATCTGTGCAATATAATATAGTTGAAAAAATAACTGCTTTTTGAAGTATTTTGGTCTTTCCTGTGCAAAAGTTGCATCAAGTATTTAGTATTGTATTGCTAAGCATTTTACATGTATTATATTTTGCCTGTTTCATAAATAGCTGTAATGCTGAATCTCTGATCTTTCCATTATTCCTTCTTACAGGTGCTTACTAAGGAATTTTACAGTCTTCAGTCTTCTAGCGAAACACGCATTATTGAACTTCAAACACAGAATTCTGAGATTCAAGCCAGGCTAGATACTTATGAAAAACTTGAAAAAGAGCTTGATGAGATAATACTGCAGACAGCAGAAAGTAAGTTCTGTCACAAACTGTATTTTATCTATAGATGTTTCTGTCACTGCCACAAAATGTCTTGTTTCTCACGGCACTTGGAAAGTATTACAGTGCCTGTCATCCTCCCTTCTTGTGCCTGACAATTAAGATGCAGTGATTATTTTGATAGAAAATATTAATGACAGGTTTCTAAATGTATTTGTAAATATGTATCAAATAGAAAGAACCCAGACATACAGATATTAAAAATTATCTCGGTGTTTCTTTTTCCCCTCATTTTTCTTTTCTTTATTCTAATCATGCACTATAATTAGATCTGGTTTTTAGGATTTTGAATACCAGGAAACCTTTGTTGACAGACAATTTGTAATACAGTACAATGAAAATTGTGAATTTTTGAATGCATTGGAGAGGAAAAAAGTTCTTCCTTGTGTTTAATTAAAAATAATTAGACATTAAGTAGTCGCCTGTGGCAGATCAGTCTGTTCCAAGTCCTGAACCCTGGATTAAATTGAGGCCTGATTAGTCCTGAGAATTTTTGTCTCTGGTTGGCAAAAATAACGAAATCTGTTTTCAAACATAGCAGAATTTCTGTGAAATCTTTATTGATTTGATTCTCAGCCTGAATGAATCCACAAAGCAAATAATTTCTAACTTGAAACTGACTCTAGTCTTGAAGTCTTTTAGCCTATGTGTAAACAGAGTAGGACATTTTAGAATTTCAAACTAGTTCATATATCTTCTTGTCCTTTTCTCTTTCTTCACTCCTCCAAAAAATAATTCTCTTCTTAACACTCTTCTGAATGCACCCCAGGATGCCATTGGCCTTCTTGGCTTCAAGGGCACATCGCTGGCTCATGGTCAGCTGCTGTCCACCAGGTCCCCAGGTCCTTCTCTGCAGAGCTGCTTTCCAGCCAGTCACACCTGTACTGGTGCATGCGTTTATTCCTCCCCAGGTGCAGGACCCTATGCTTGCTTTCGATGAAATTCGTTAGGTTCCTCTCTGCCCAACTCTTCAGCCTGTCCATGTCTCACTGAGTGGCAGCACAGCCTTCTAGTGTATCAGCCACTCCTCCCAGTGTTGTATCATCAGCAAACTTGCTAAGGGGTACACCCTGTCTCTTCATTCAGGTTTTGGTGAATATATTGAGCAAGACTGGACCCAGTACACTGCTAGCTACAGGCCTCCAACTAGACTATGTGCTGCTCATCACAACCCTCAGCTCTGCCATTCAGTCAGCTCTCAATCCACCTCACTGTCCTCTCATCTAGCCCACACCTCCTAAGCTTACCTATGAGAGACAGTGTCAAAAGCCTTGCTAAAGTTGAGGTAGACAATATCCATTGCTCTCCCCTCATCTACACTTTGTTTTAGTCAGTAACATGGTTTTTTTACATGTGTGTATATATATGTATATATATAAACTTGCCTAGGACAACTAAATTATTCTTAACTTCTTCTTTAAGAAGTTTCTTTTTTTAGTATTTTAATTACTATTTATGTTCTATGCTACAGAATATGACTTAAAGAAAGGAACGTTTCCAAATGGACCATTTTGTTAAAAAAATATTATTTTCTGATTTTGTTGGAGAAAAAAAGGAGTTATGGTTCAATTTTTTTTCAATATGGTTTCTATTAAATAACTAATGTATTATATTGTTATTGTTGTTGTTGTTATTATTAATTTGATATTCAACATTGGGATTAATACTAATTAAGACTGAATACCGGCACCAAGGTGAACTTCTGAGGAAAATCAGAAAAAATAAAAGTATTTCTCTTTTAAAAATACTTTGAAGAAGAAAACAGACTTACTTCTTCCTGTGTCTCAAATTATGTCCTGGTGTGTACATGTCATAAATAACTAAATGTAGAAAAATAGTTGAAAGAAAGGAAATATAATTATTTTGCAAATTAAATGTGTTCTGGAAATACTTCAGTCTATCTTTTAGAGAATATAATTTAGGCTGAAGCATTGCATGGAAGACAATTAGAATTTTCTATGGACTTTAGTAAGAGTAAGATTTTACTCTTCAGTCTTGTGGTCACTTCTTTATATTTCAACACCATGTATTTTTTTCTTCCCACTGACTTATGAAGTCTCTGCTCTTTTCATAGAATCACAGAATGGTTTGAGTTGGAAGGGTCCTTAAAGCTCATCCAGTCCAACCCCCCTGCCATGGCAGGGACACCTCCCACCAGACCAGGTTGCCCAAAGCCCTGTCCAACCTGGCCTTGAACACTTCCAGGGAGGGGGCATCCACAGCTTCCCTGGGCAATCTGTGCCAGTGTCTCACCACCCTCACAGTAAAGAATTTCTTCCTTATTTCTAATCTAAATTTACCTTCTTTCAGTTTAAAACTGTTGCCCCTCATCCTATTGCTACACTCCCTGATAAAGAGTCCTTCCCTATCTCTTCTGTAGGCCTCCTTTAAGTATGGAAAGCTGCTGTAGTAGTACTGGAAGGCTGCTACAATATTTGGGGACGTTATTGGGGATTGGGTTCTCTGGACATTTTCATAAACTGTATTTGCACATATGAGATGGCTTTTGTCATATAATCACATAAGCTTTGTATTTTTTCTTTGGAGAATGTGCATGTGGAAGAGATCACTGAATTGTGACTGTTACTCCCTCATCACTATGCCTCATTTTATTAATATTAAAATAATATGAAACAGCCTATTCAGGAAACTATCGAGAATTTATGTAGCCACTCCTTACAGCATCAAGTGGTTTCCACATGAATAATAGTAGTAAAGTTTCTTGGCATTTTCCTGTGCTCCCTTTTCAGAGTAAAATCTTCACTTTGCGGTATTTCTGTTGTGCACTAGTTGTTTGATTTTTCTTGCTTCCATTGGTTAGCATTTTTTTAAGAAAAAGGTTGAACCTATCTGTATCCTCAGAACAGCATTTTTTGCTAAGTGATGTAAAATTTTTCATTAGTCAGTGTCCCCTAACATGTAAAGTATATATTTTACACTACAAAGCCAGGTGAAGAGCCTGGAAAGACATAAAAGTAGATAAGAGAAGCACACATGGATGCAGACTATTGCTTTGGCTTGATATCTGCAACATTTCCAGATTTTTTTATGTTTGTCTTCACAATCTGACATTTACATGGACACCACTGACAGATAGGAATTTATAGGGCAGGATCTTACTGACATTTTTCTGAGGCAACACTGAATTTGTTACAAAAAAGAAGGATTATGACAAAGGCGGGTTAAATTCTTTTTTAGGTTTTTCTGAATCAGAGGTATTTAAGACACTGGAGAATTCCCCATCATAGCGAGACAGCCTTGAAACTCTGCAGTGCTGGTGCCTTTGTACTGCCACATCAGTGAACTTTTTGGTCATACTCACTGGAATTTCTGTATTGGTTTTCATGCAGCTAGATATGTGACTTATCACAAGTGCTCTACTGGAGGACTTTCTCTTTCTAAACGTGTTTTAAGAATTCTTGTTTAAAATAACATTAAAAGACTACTAGACAAGTGAGGAAAGAAGCTATAGCATTTTGCAAGTTGTTGAGAGGAAAAGATATTTCTGATTTAGAGGCACTTGAGCAATGGGAAAGATGAGTCAGATAGGACTCTCACATTATTTCCTTAATTTGCTTCTCCTGCTCCCAAATACTTGATTCATCAAAGCTGTTGTGTAGGGCCTGGGGTGGTGGTCACTTGTGCTCCCTTTCTCACACCCCTGCCTCTCCCCATTTCTCTTTGTCCCCTTTTACCTCTCCTCTCTGTCCCTCTCTCTCTGCCCCTTTCTGCCTTCCACACACACTCCTTTTTTTTTTTTTTTTTTTTGGCCCAATTTACCTAACAGGAGAGAGGACACTTGAATTAGATGAGCTGAAATATTAAAATCTGTACATGTTTTAATCTTGCTGCTATCGGGATTTCTTTTCAAAACAATTCCAATGTGTTTTAAATCCTTAGAAAAATATCTTGAGATATTATTTTGAATATTTTTACTTTGCATAACCATAAGAATCTCCTTCTTGCCCTTCTCTGAAGATGGGTATGGCATTTGTTTTCCTCAGGTTATCAGAAATTTCTGATCGCCACAATCTTTCAAAAGTTATATTGAGCAGCCTCACAGTGACATCAACTCCCTCAGAAACCTCAGATTTGTCACTTCTGGTCCCATGGACTTGTTTATGTCCAGTCACTTAAGCACTCCTTAATTTTATCTTCCTATCAATCCTCATGTATGCGCAGAAAATGAATTCTTTAGCTAAAAAACCTAAGCAACCTAACTCTGTACTTCTGAATTAAACTTACGCTATTAGTAACTGGAAATCTAGCTTCTAGAAAAATGTTTCTGCATAGTAATAAGTGGAATTGCGTAGAAATTTGTACATTCTTGCGCTGTAGATATGTTCTTCAGCAGCACCTTTCTGCACTTTTTTGCAGTGGAAGATGAAGTTGAAGCTGAAAGGGTCCTCTTCTCATATGGGTATGGTGCTAATGTTCCTACAACAGCCAAACGACGACTAAAGCAAAGGTAAAAAAATGCCTCCTGAATTTACTTGTTCAAGATAAAGTAAATGAAGATCTGTGTATTATGTTTTGTCTTAGAATCCAGCCAGTTTGATTAACATAGATTTTTATTTTTAATTACTTAAGTATACAAAGACTTAGTGAACAGAATGAAGGCTTGAATGAACCTGTTAATGTGGATGATGCATAGAAATGAGCATATACATATTTCTCTAGGTAATTTTAAGATATTTTTTCCTTGTCTTTCAGGAAGAATAATTTTATACGTTAAAAACTAAACAACTGTAAAAACAGACTAGTTACATTGTTTGCATTTATATAATAGGAAATAAGTTTTTAATACCCTAAAAATTATTGTATGGATTTGTAACAAAAAAGGCATCTGTCAGGAAATTAGGAAGGCCAAGTTTTCAGAGCATCTCTGTTTCATCTTTAGAAATACAGGATCTGATTACAATCATATTTCTTTGATTTGCTCTGATACCACTTGATCAACAGATAAAAACAATGTTTTGGCTGAATAACATACCTCTTGATTATAGTATTTTTAAATAATAAATTTATATTATGCATTGTGTATAGCTGGTTTTTACTACAAGTATTAGTTTGTTTAGTTGTTTTCATTCTCTTAACTCAAACTTTCTCCATGAAAAATAATATTTAGCATCAAAAGTTACTGATGAGAAAATGATGAAGCAAATGATGGTCTGTTCATGTTTGCAACAAAGATTTATGGGCCACATACTGTTTGTTCTTTATAGTTGTTTTTCACATAAATATTATTTATATGATTGTCAGATTAGACCTGTTGTGCACTGTGTTACATATTGCTGACAAAAATCTTAAAGATTTTCTGTAGTACCTAACTTTGGTATGGCTTAACTTGCTCCTCAGATTGTTTCCTTGAAGATTTCTTTTTATGTTCCATAAAAAAATCAAGAAAAAAAAAAAGGCGGGGTGGGGCAAAAAAACTCCATGACCCTCCCTGTTGTATGTCTGTTTTAGGAGACTGTTGAGAGTTCTGTAGCATCATTTCTTAAAACTTCAATTCCTTCCTTCTCTCTCAATAGTTCTGGAACTTCTCTGAGTTTCAGCTTAGGTCCTTCTTTTTCCCCACCTTATTAGATACAGTTTAGATGATTTACATATAAAAGAACTCCACTAAATCACCTTTGAGTGGTGAATCTGATGATCAGTAAACCAGGGTTTCACATGGGCTTAGAAGTGGCTCTGTCAGAATGCATCAAATACCCCTCTTTTGTTCTAAAAGGCATTGGCAGATAAAGCTGATTTAATCCTTCATAATGGTGTTGGAAACTTCATAGGCTTTCTTTATCTTTCATAATGAAGAAGATTTAAAAAGCCATAAAAGTCTGTGTATGGTTTACCTGCTGCTGTTCTGACTCAAGGAAAACTGGCGTGCAGAAAATGTGTGCAATGCCTTTGTCTCCCTAAGCTTTAAAGCAAAGCCTCTGTGACACCAATTTCTATATTTAGAGCCATTAAAGAAACACAGGTAACTTTCCTGCTTTCCTTTTCCTTACAAGTGGGAATCATCTTCTTTTTGGAGTCCACTACCTGCTCTTTAATTCCAGACATATGAGATCCTAAATGAAGAGCTCTTATAAGGTCACATCATGCACTTCAGTCTCTGAAACTGTACAAAACCACCTATTCAAGCATAGTGCATTGTGGGGTCTATACCTCTTTGCCTTCTTGCCAGAAACAGCTATTTCATAACTTTGGACTTAGGCACCATGCACCCATATTAGTAAATTCAACATGCCTGGGAAAATTCTGAAGCATTGAGACCGAATGGTGAGTAGTAGCCCACTTTCACTAAACTCTCGGTGTAGGTTAGCTGCGTGTGAACTACTATGCCTTGGAAGTGTTGGGGAGGGTGTTAAAGAGTAAATGCCAGAATACTGCCAGGAACGCTCTAGTGGCTTGCTAACAACAAATTTTGACATTCTTGAGCACTGCATAATTTTCTAGTATAGTTGGAATCAAAGTTTTCCAGAATAAGTTGTCTTTGCAGATCAGCCCCTTTGTCCTTTTTCTTTAAATTTAAACTAAGTCACAAAGCATACTGACAAGCATACTTGAAAGACGTACTTGTGTTTATCCTTAAATACTTGGAAATTCGGGTCAAGTCCACTGAATAGTTGAAGGTGGGAAAATTATGATGGGCTACATTCCCAAAGTTGCCATGGGAATGTATCCATGTTTCCCCTTGCACTCTAATGTACAAGATCCCCAACTAGAGATACCAGAGAAGTGGTTCATTTCTCTTTTATACTAGATGAGATCTTAACACACATCTCATATCTCCTAAATAAAGATCCAAATAACTAGTTTGGAGAATTAATTCTTTTTTCTCACTTACTGTTTACACAGTCTAATGCTCCTGGTAGATGAAACCAGGTAGAGGTAGAGAACCAACCTCTTAGAGAATGCTATTGAGAATTTCAGGTAATTCCTCTCATATAAGGCAAGAGTAAAAGATTGCCTGTATGAAATGGTAGGTTTATAACACAGTGAAGAATATTAAGACTTCTGCAAAATTAAGTGTATTCCCTTTTACTGAGGAGAAGGTGGAGGTTATGACTGGTGAAATTATCAGAGAAAGTTTATACACTCATACAGCTTTAGACACTCTTAAGCCTTAGCTTAAGAGTAAATATAATCTCCCAGTCGGTCTGCTTTAGACCACTTACACTCTTACAGATTGAATATCATGGTCAAGAACTGAATAACACTTTGTTATCTGCTATTTGGAGACTAGTGGTCTTACATTTTCAGTTTATGGATGGTAAGCATTGAGAGTTTAAGATCTGAACTGGAGTGACTTCTCCCTTTCTTCAATATACGAGTTTCTGAAAAATGGCACACATCAGACTGAAAAGGTAGATTGTTGTGGAGAGACATTAGTCCAGTGGTTAAGGCTCACTAAAGAGAGGTATTAGCCCTGTATATCTCCCTAATTTTTAGAGCTTTGAATTTCCTATGTCATATTGTGAAATCAGTTGCCTACTGGAATACCTAAACATGGGGCAGGGGGTGCCATGATAAATTCTCTAGATACAGTTTTGAGAATAAGTCACCAAGTTGCTGAATCCTACAGAGATGGCATGATTAATTATAGAATACATAATTTATACATCTAATCACAGATTTAACACAGGCACTTGGCATCTGACTTTCCATTACAACCAATTTAGTTCTAATCAATAGTCAATGGAGTTAAGAGTGTATTTCAGTTCACCGTCCAGGAGTCAATTTTTGTGGCATATAGTCAGGCTTTACAGGCTGTATTGAATAGAATGAAATGATAAGAACAGCTTCAAAGCCTAGGTTAGATGTGTGGAAGTGTAGGCTGTGCAATTGCATACTGAATCTTCCCTTTGCTACCTATGGAACTGTGCTGTTGCACTGGTGATAAACTCCTTTGACTTTGGACATGAAACATGCAAGAAATTGAGGATCTAATTTTTTTTACTAAGGAGGTTAAGTAACTTTTTCTTCACTTTTGAGTTAATTTGTAGATCTACATAAAAGTTTTGGGTTTTTTTTTTAAATTATTTAGCATATTAAATGTCAAACAAAACAATTTTGCCTCTGTTTTGAAAATGATAAAATACTACATTTTTCAGTGTGCCACTATAAAATGTATATTAACATGTATTTAAAAAAAATTTGAGAAGTCAATTATAGTGCTTCCCCACAGTTGCTAAAAAGTAAATACTCATAATTACTTGAAACATTTTGACATGATTACTGCAATTGCACAGTATTGTACAAATTATATAATTACTTTGTAAAAAATATTGCAATGGCCTAACTGGGGGAATGCTATTTCAGTGCTGTTAGTGTTTGTCATATATTCATTCTTTTTCTAAGTTTGACCATTCTGCATGTTTTACTATATAGTTTATATACATTAGTATTTAAGCATCGGTGAAAAATTAAGGCAATCAAGTTCTGAAGTATAAATGTGAGAATTTCTTTTGCATATTTTGGAAAAAGTTCAACTTGAGCTTGCTTTTTATTGGCACAGTGTTCACTTGGCAAGGAGGTTGCTGCAGCTAGAAAAGCAAAACTCGTTGCTTGTAAAAGATCTGGAACATCAGAAGGAACAAGTAACGCAGATTTCACAAGAGGTAAATTACTGCTACAAAAAAATCAGATCTATACAGACTATAAACATTGCAGAACAGCTGTTCATAAAATGAAATATTTTCTAAACAGTGTTTATTATCTATTTGATGTTAAAAAATGGCCTCATAATTAACCAAAACTCTATGTTAAATGTTTTCAAAGAAGTTTATATTGTATTTTGAAATGAAGATCAAAAGAGGGATTACTTTACAGGCTAAACAAGAATGTAAGCCAGACAGACAACGTTCTGATTTCTGAACAGAAGACCAACCAGCCAAACTAGTTTGTTCTGTTTGATAGATAATTGTTCAATGAATACCTCATTACTTTTTACACAGCTCTTCTCTTAAATCGCTTTTGAAGATATTTCTGTAAATCCTTTTCTGCATTGTTCAGTTCTCGAGTCTTTTGAATGTACAAATCTAGGGAATGCTTAACTTAAGCTGCTTTTTAAAAAAGCGAAAATATTTTTTTTCACTTTGTTACAATGAGTTTAATTTATTGATCTGTTAAAATTCTGCATCTAATACCTGAATTCACGTGTGACATTAACATGGAGAACAAACACTAAACAAAACTCAGCTTGAAAACTCCCAGAATTAGGGTGAACTAGTTTTTTGAAATATTTTCAAGATTGTTTTCTGAGTTTCACTTAGAAACCAAGTAACTTCTAGATTTGCTACTACATATTGCCACCGCATGGAATTTCTAGGCTGACTGTTTCAGGAATGTGGTTCACAGTTTGATTTTTAAAGCCATGGTAATTATAAATTAGGATAACTACACCCGAGTACTTCGCAGTGCAAATGCCTGCATTTTCTAGATATTTTAAAATTACATTAATTTTATGTATTTCATGTGTGTATGTATATGATTATACAAGTTATTTAAATGGAAGATACACTAACAGTGAAGTTTTTGGTAATCTTTTAATTTTTTTAAAAAGAAAACAGACCCTGCACACTACAGCATGCTCAGGTGGCCCATTATTATTGTTTTGATTGACATTTTGTTCAGTCATCTAGGTGAAATTTAGAATATCTATTTAAAGTTGATGCCAAAGTGATTGGACCAACTTTTCTTTTGAACTTGGATTAAATACTGGTATTTCACTGCTGTATTTGTGACAATTTTTTTTAAAGCTCTTTAAAGAAGGGAGCAAAAGAAAAAGACTGCAATAACTACAACAGAAGCTGTTTCTAAGATCCTTATTTTGGACTATCCTCAACCGATTGCTCTTGAGCTCTATAAAAATGAACCATATTGATCTTCTGGGAAGGTCCAGCATTACCAAGAAGCAAATACTGACTTCTCCATAATTTCATTCATTTGATGGAAGTCTGGTGTAATGTGCCTGCTTGAAAGCTGTAACCCTACCGAAAAGCTGAAAGAAGCTCAAAGAAAACTTGTCAGTCTTTAGCTTAGTCCCGTTATAGCTTGTCAGGCTTTATTTAACTGCAGGATCCTATCTATTTCCAGGTCTGTGATACAGCATTAGAAAATAATTTTCCCTTAAAGTTCTCTTTCCTTTGCTTTGCATATCACTGACCAGCAATGTTAAAGTAGGTATTGAGACTTACACGTTTAGTAAGTGGAAGGCTGTATATCAGGTTCTGCAAGTAGTAATCATAGATCACTACATTTAGTGTCCAATCTAAATTTTGGAATAAATTTGCTTTGCAGAGGTTTTGAACAACAGTGCCAGAACTGATGGTCATTCTCTTGTGCCTAGAAAGCTAATATGGTCTTTGGGTGACTTAAAAAGCAAATACTGAGTCAGTGTACAGTAAAAGTGTTACCCTAAATAAAGAAATTTACTAATCTAATATGTTTGGCTTGCTGCTAAATGACTTTTTCAAGCCTTTATCATGACAATTTATTTGTTCTTTCTGTTTGTCTTGATTTTAACATTTTTACTAAAAGTAGGTTTGCATCTCATTCTGAAAGAGAGAGTATAGATCCAGCTGAACAATAAATCCTTCAGCTTGATGTCCATTTAGGGATAAGGAATAAATGTCCAATTGCAAGGTATTCAATCTGTCAGTGACACAGAAATACTCAAGTATTTCTAAGGCAGAAAGAAATCAAAGTTGTTTACAAAAATTAATGCTTTTGCTCAAGGATAATGCTTAGTATATATACATGTGTGTATATTAGTAAAATTGATCCATTAAATGCATTTGATGTTTAATTGATTGAGTTTGATGACAGCCTCAATGTTTTATACTGCAATTTTTAGACCATCCCAGCAATTAGCCCTCCATGTCTTGGAATTACCTTTTTGTCGTGTAAAGACTCTTCAGTGTCTTCCTGAGATACTGTTTGAGAGCTTGTACTCTTAGAAAAAGAATAGCTTTTTTTAATTGCTTATCAATTCGTTGAAGATAACTAGTTTCTTCAAGAAAATGATAGCATTGTTGTTTTACTTTTCTACAATAAACTTGGAAATTCACTGTGGATTAGAATTGTTATTTTTTTAAGAAACTAATGTATTAAAATAAGGATTTGCATGGATTTGAAAAAGTGGAAAGTCTGTCATTTCACTTTTTAAAACATGAGATGGAGTTAACTCCCTTTTTAGTAAGGCCAGTAAGGTGAGCAAAGTTCTGTCTATATTCTGTTTTTTAATAAATGTGAACCATTACATTGTAAGTTCTTTGCACATTTGACAGAGTATGCAGGGCAGAAGTAAAACCACAACAAAAGTACAATTAAATCAGAGAAAGAAGGAGATACAGTCTCATGTTTTGAAAATTGTGAATAGGAGAAAAAATTGATTTTAGGAAAGTCCTGAAATATTACTTCAATAGGCTAGGTCTATAGGAAAGGGGGGGGGGGGGGTTGCCCTGCTGGTTTGGAACAACACAAAATAGGACAATTGACTCCTGAGTCTGATTTGGCAAACACAGATTGCTTAATCTATTCAGAAATGCTATGAGCTAATTGGAAAGCATAGCCATTTTCCACTGAATTCATTCTATTAGACCTGTTTGTATTTAAAGTATAAAAGATTTTATTTTTCTAAAGAATCTAGTTGATCTTCTAGACTTACTTGTTCTCCAGCTGCTGAAACTGCTAAATCTTGATGTGTCATCTTAATTCTGCACATATTTTAGTGAATGATCTTGTGATATTGCTCAAAATGCAAGCCATATCATGCAAGTTTTTTTAGACCTAGTGATCCTAATTTGTTCAGGAATATGGCTAGAAAGTTTTATTTTCTACTTATGAGTATGAGTGTGATTTTACTGTACTCTTGTAAGCATCCTGTTGGATTTCACTGTTCAAACACACTCATTGATTAGAAGAAAGTGGACTTTTCTTCCATTATTACTGTGTTTTCATTTAAATTCCTTTTCTGAGCTGAAAATTCCTTTGTAATAGTATACTGTTTTTAAAAAGTCACTTGTCATCAATAAAGTGAACAAACAGAGGCCTTGCCTGTACCAATTGTTTTCATCAATGGAAACTGTTAGATTACAACTCTTGAAAATGCAGATTACGAAAGTGTAGAGATAGGTAACATGATTGCAGAGAAAATATGGTACAATTAGAAAAGTGAGAGGACAGTGTACTAGATAGTAATTTGAGGGTAGTTTGTTTTAGGGTTTTTTGTGAAATACCAGTTTTTGGTTTTATGGCATTATGCAATTGGTAATAATCAATAATAATTCAGTAATAATCAAGTAATTTTGCTTTATAAATTAAAAACATAATAGTAATACTTTTTTTTTTGGCAGCTGGACAGAGCAAAGACTTTGCTGAGTCAAGTACAACAGCCATACAAATACCTCATTGAAACTGTGCAACAGAGAGATTCTCAAATAAGCCTACAGAAAGAACGTATTACACAACTTGAAAAAGATACCAGGTAATGAAAGTCACTTATTTTAAACCTTAAGTAAAATAACTTGTGTGTTTAGCATTAGAAAACAATTACATTATTGGGCATAAGGTAGATGTCGTCATTCCATCACTGACTAATTCCAGTCTTTATCCTGGAGCTCTGTGTCCACTCTGTGACTTCTCTCATATTGTTAGAAAACGAGGCTTTAGGTTTGGAAAAGCAGCAATGACAGGTTAAAAGTGAGTTTGCTGCTGAGAAGAGCTCTCATGAAGCAAAGGAGAGTTGAGAAACATAAAAGGAAAGAATGACACACTGGATATACAAAAGTAAAAATACAGAAATGAAGTCGGAGAAAAATAATAGACTGGTCCACCAGCGAAGGGTATTTTGGCTGTAACTTGAGCAGACTTCCTCTAGTGGAGACTCTCTGATTTGCTGTTATATGCAGCTGTCAGAATTCTGACTACTGAGCAATTTTCCAGCATCATACAGCTTTATTAACGATGTTTAACATCTGGTTACCAAGTAAGGTGTTAGAAAATAATCTGCCCCTTGATTTTTAAGGAAGTGGATAGCTGTGTGCCACTGCACTACAGAACAATTAGCATTTTAACTATTAAGTGTTTGTGTGGTATCTTGGTTTAGGAAACACATACGGTAACAATTATGAAGCATAAATGTGATTGTGTTATGAAGCAATTACATGAAACAATACAGAGTTTTTTCCCACAAATCTGATGAATCAATGAAAATAGAAAAAAATAGGACTCACCATAACTATATACTTTATTCTGCATATTGTCTTACATACATATCTATTCAGAGCGTTTCAGTGGTTTGGAATAGTATTTGTTATGCCTTGAAGAATGCCAAAAAATGCTTATTGGATCCTAGTAAATCTATACATAAATCAATGCATCTATACATAAACTGAAATATTCATTCATACTTCCTAACAAGACATCTTTCTCTGGGCTTAACTTTGAAGAGGAAGAACATATCTTTTTTTAATTCCAGTATCAAGTGTTTTTAATACATTCCTAGATTTGACATATTATAAGAAAAACTTCAAAGCTAAATTATATTTTTGCAGGAGATGAAAAATCAAAAAGTTCTCTATTATATCCAAGATGTTACTTTCCAGTTGTGAATAAAATCACTGAAGAATTGATCAGTAGCAAATTACATTTTTTTATTACAGTAACAAGAAAACTTCTTTCATTATTCACATAGTTGTCCAAAAGTCTCTCAAATGCTAGGAAAAAAAGAGAGTAAATAGGTGAGGTAGTTTCTGAAAGTGTATGTTTAATGCCATTAAAATATATAAGAACTTTAATGCGTTCCTGACATTGATTCTCTAGAGTTTTTATGGCTCATTATAAATAATCTGTATGCCTAGATATTCTTCCTAAATTTAGCCAACAAGTTAAGGCACCTAAATTAGGAACTTAGTCATGTCAGCTTTCCTTAGTAGTTCACGGAGGAAGTGGCATCTCCGAAAAGCAATTCAGATTTTGGATGGAGTGAGTCATTTGCTAGCGATGCCTGTTACTCTCCATTAACTGTAAAGGGAATTTTTGGCATCTTAAAGTGCCTGAGGTTAAGGAAGAAAATGGATGGGCACAACAGTGCGAGCATTCATGGTAAACATACCAGCAGTTTGCTACTGTGGTGAGCTGGGCTGTGCTCACCACTGCTCCATGTTTCTGTAAACGAAATTGTGGTCTGACAAAAAAGTATTTTTATCCTTAATGGTTTTGTAGCAAAAAAGTAACACGCACTTTGCACATCAAAAGTTTTTGTAAGGAGTTTTTTCCTGTAGTTTCCAATATTCTGTGTAAACTAAAAATAACTAATATTCCCTTATCATAAGTTTGCCTCCACTTTGCCATAATTTCTTAGGCCAATGAAATTCTTGGAAGCAGCCTAATGTTTTAAGGCTTTGGGTACATATCAGTAGTCCCTAATTTCGCTATTCATAACTCCACATTCAAAACAAATGTCCTAAATTGTTAGCTCATATTTCCTGGAGCACAGGAGAAATCGTAATCTGGTATAAACTTGATAAAGTGGGTCCTTTGCTTTCCTGTAAGTGAGAGGAAGGTTAGAGACAGGAATTTCTGACCAGAGAAGCATTACATTCTAGCACCCTTTGTCATTCGCAGAGCCTTCTGGAATCTGCTGCTGACAGTTTTAAATTAGAATATCCTGTAGGTGATTTCAGATTACTTTGAGGACCAGTCTAGCTCCCAGCTATTCCAGAACTGAATCAGAATGGGACTTAAGTAAATTAACCATAATCCCTACCAAATATATGCCGAGTGAAGCTCTGCTGGATCAAAAGATTTAGACCACTATTTCTATCCGTCTTTCTTAGTTTATTAAACAGCGTTTTCTTGGTTTGTGTGTGGAATATTTTTGAGAGGATTAGTTCAGAGAATTAGTGCTCCTCAAGGAGGGCCCTAAATTCTGCAGATACTGTTGGTGTTATTAGAAAAGTAATCGTAAAAACACTGAACATGGTTTATGAAGCCTGGTTTCTCTGTGTCGCACAGCTAAGGGAAAAGTTAATATTTATAAAGCCAATTCAGAGTGAAATGTTTTTTTCAACCATTACCTATAATTAATAGGTAATACTGCAGTTCTGCATTAGCCTTTTTAAGTTGAGGTTTAATTTAAGCTAAAATTACACCAAGTACATTATTATTTTTAAATATTTTATATACAATACATGCATTTAGTTTTTATTCTAGAAAGCCATTTCACAAATAGTAGCTAACAGAAAAATAATGTTCAATTCCTGTTTTCAGACAGACCTTAAAGAATACTAGTGATATTTTGAATATTTTTTTTAAATCTCATATTTGAGTACCAGATTGTAGACAGATTAACATAATGTTGATATGCCTGCACCCTGACAATCATCAGGGTCCTTAGCTTTATCCTCACAGCTACCCTATGCTTGATCATACTCTTCCTTCCTTCGTGCCTAGTGTGCAGAATCTGAGGTGGAGGAGCGTTCCTTTTGTGCTGCGTTTTTATCTCCTCTGCTCATCAAGACGGATCTGCGTTATGTAAACCATGGATTCTCTGGGTAGAGCAGTCACATCTGTGTTAACAGTGCTAGAGTTCTCTATCACCTCTCACTTAACTTGAGTGGGGAGGGTGCAGCAAGTACTAATTTGCAAGTGAATTTACTTCTTTAGACTTAATCCATATTTGGCTTCTGTGCACAGTGATAACAGCCAATGACCTTTTCAGAAGGTACTCCTGGGGTGGTTAGGTTCCAGCAGATTTCCCAGGATGATTAGTCAATACTTTCTTGCAATCTTATAAATGTTCTGCAGCAACCTGCAGTGCTTTGTATTTCCTTATCTAAGAAAGCTGTTGTGCGCTACTGGATGTGGTTTTGATTATGTGATGAAATAGACAGCCTTGATGAAATCAGCACAAGAGGAAGGCTATCAGTGACAGCAATCTCCTTAGTTTGGACTGTGGGTGTTCTTGCACCATATTTTTACTGATTTTTCACAAAATAGCCTAAAGTGACTTACAGTGTGGTCCCTTGACAGGCAACAGATGCATTCAGGATTCTCCAAAGTGTCATTTCTGACAGCAGTTATTTCCACAGGAGGAGTGGGACAGATTCAGGCAGATCATTTTGATATAATACTCTTGAGAGGTCCCGCAGATCATCTAAGTTTCCTTTCAATGTCATCTTCAAAGTTCACTTTGACCAGAGCAGCTTACATGCCTTCATCCTTAAGCATGATATGTGTATTACTACTCAAAGATAAAAGGAGAGGTTGTTTAGGGGCAATCAAAGCTCTGTCAGATGTTGTCCACACGTATGTTCACTACCACTCTGTCCACTTCATATTCTCCCAGGCAGGCCGTGAGCTGTGCTGGCACTTGGCCTTGGAGAGAACCGAGGTGGCTGTGGGAGCAGATCACTTGGTGTCCTTGTGCACTGAGCCATGCACCTGCAGATATGCTTTGGATACAAAACCTCAGGTCTTGAGTGACAGGGCATCTGCAGGGTGAATTTATAGGTGGTTCGCATATCTCAAAATATTCTGTTAAGTAACCTGTCATTTATGTTAGTCCACATAGCACTCTCGTTAGTAAAAGTAAATAGCGATGGTTAATAAGCTGTGGTATGTACAAGGATGACTCCTTCCTACTATAAAGAAATCTCTCTAGCATACAGTTCTTTAACCAGAAATGAAAACATCACATTTAGCACTCCTTTTGAAAAGAAATGCCTTGCAACTATGTCATGCTGTGGGAAAACAAATCTCTGAATTTCATTCTTATGTGTGTAGATAGTTTTAGTACATAATTTTCTGCTAAAAACATCTAGGTTTATAAATAACTGGGGACATTAAACAGGACTTCATTCATAAAGAGAGGGTGTTTATTTTAAATGCAGTTACTCAGATTTCTTAGTACCAATGCCTGGTTTTAAAAGTGGTTCACTTACGCAGAAGCACTCCTCAAAAGCCTAACTGTGTGGCAGATCTAGAAGCAGTACAAGGATTTTGCTCACTAAGAAGATATGTACTGAAATGTTCCTTATCTAAACATTTTGGGTTCTCTAATTGCCATCCAAACATTATAAAGCTCAGCATACAGTGTTGGCTGAGATATTCCCATCACAGAATGGGCAATGAGCTTTTTATGAGAGTATTACCATTCTATGAAATATGCATTGTCTGTTCCAACACTACTGCAGTTTACCTGAGAAATGCTCCAAACAAAATTTGTGGAAATTTTTTTTTTCCCTCTAATTGAATATTTTCTGACCTGTATTACAACTTTTTAAAAGGTGTTTGGTTTTGGTTTTCTGTTTATTAATATATAATTTGAAAAAGTAATTTCAATTTAGACACTACATGGTTGAGCTTTTAAGCCACCTGAAGCACTCCAATTAAAACCATTAAGGAATGCTCTCCTCAGTGCCTTTAAAAATCTGATCTGTGGTTATTTAGCCGCACAATGCTAGATCACAAATTTTTCATGTACTTTCTCTTGTAATGAACCCTTTTTTGCAGAATTTTTTATACCTCCCTCTCTAACTATGTGACTTAAAAAGAAAAATTGACTTAGATTTTAAAAATCAGCTGTCTGCTCTGCACTATTCATCTATGATTTCCAGAGAAGGGGTAGCTGTGCTGTATGCCTATAGTATATATTCAGTTTTATGTACAAAACCATCGCATAAACTATTTCTGTGTTTGATTTTTTGATGGTAATATTTGTACATGAACACAAAATGCAAAAAATTAACTTAAGATTGGACTTCAGTTTTCAACTTCGTCATATGAACTTAACAGAATGGCACAATCTTTATTTTGTACAGCATTTGGGGTACACAGAGTTCACTGAAAAATAAACCTACTTTTTTCAAACTGAAAAGAAGTAATAATAAAAACCAGTAATATATAAGACCATATTTATTTAGTGTGTCTAGCATTAGTATATTATCCAGAACATCTAATAATAGAAGCTTCTGAATAGGATAGTAGCTAGTATATTTAGACCAGAGATTTAAAAGATTACTTAATTGCCCAAATTCAAAAGGCTTTAAAAGTCTGAGGCTGGGAAATGTTAGTCTCTATTCTCCAGAAAAATCAAGTCACCTAAAAATATCTTACTTATGACATCCAAGCAACCTTGGCTTTAGATCCTGAGCAAAGCGAAACAAAACAAGCAAGCAGTTGCTATGAGCACTGTGTATGTCTATGACAAGTGTGTTCCATGGTAAGCCCTGCATTCCTGGTACCTGGATTCATACCTGGCTGGGTTTTGAAAGCATGATGGAATGAAACTGAATCTCCTCCCAGACGTTTTGGTTTCTTCTGGAAACCTAGGGACACAGAAAAAGCAGGAGCTCCACTGCTTCTTAATTAACTCTCCAACCCAGACTTTTGGGACCCCGGTTATGTGATGTACCACAAAAGGCACCTTCTCCCCACTCAGAATGGACCAGTCAGTGACCAGGACAGCATGGTGTACACTTGCCCTGTAGTGTGTGTTTTCATTTGTGCTGTTAAATAACTCCAGGGATATTAGATCATTTCAGCACAGTCCGTTTCTCCCAAGTGTCCACGTTCACTGGAAGTTTTCTTTTAATATTTAGTACTGTAGTACTTTAATACACATCTTTACCATGAAAGTTTATAAATATGGTTAGTTAAAGGTGGTCAAGAATATCCTGTCTCTTCAGATGACAGTCGTAACCCTTGAGCTTAGGTGTGAGAAGCTGGTTTGTCCAGTCTCATAGGTTGTGGTTTCAGAATCATAGTAAGAGAGTTAAGGCTCTCCGTCACCAAATGGAGCACTCATCCTTACCTTCAGCTGCAAGTTTCCACTGTATGTGGTAAATCAAGTTGTTTTGGTGATCCACGTGAAAAATAACCTTTAAAAAGACTCCAGCTTCCATCCAGATCAGTGAAGTGACATACGCATGTGGTCACGAATTTTCTAGTAACAGCGCAAAGAAGGGGTTACCAGTATGTGGTTAGGGAAGGATGATCTTTCAGCAACAGTTTTCCCTTAGGTCAGCTGAAGCGAACTGTAAAGCTGCTCTCTGATTTATTACACTACCAATTAAACCTGGATTAGTTTAAACTACTGTTTGATGGAAGTGTTGGGTAGTTTAAAGCTACAACCTCCTTGACTGATGATAGCCAAGATGCCCGTTCAGAACATTTCCATAACAGGAGCTGAAATGGTCAGTCTTCTCCAAAAATGGAACTTTTGAAGGAATTTCTGCTTTACTTGGTCATTGCAGGTGTGGATTTATTAACATTGTGTCTGATAATCCTGCTTTCTCACTCTCTTAAATGTATATATGCCTCTTTTGCCATGTTCTTTCACAAGTATATGAATTATTTTCTTCTATCTGCAGTAATGAAAAAGCATAACTATTGCAAAACTAGTAAATCTGAAGTCTGTGTGTCCTTTGGTAATTGAATATTCAGATGTATGACAGAAAACACATCAAGTGCTACTGAATGACATCGCAGTCTAATTGCTATATTTGACAGCAAACAAAATTAGAACTTCTCCACATGGATCAGTCATGTCAGATTGTTTCAGAAGGTATAACTAGTGTAACTAGAATAGGTTCTGTTCTGTAGATGAAACTGAACCTTCTACATGAACTTCTGGTTTGGTCATGAGCACGATGTTTATGTTTATTCAGTATGCTATTTAAGGCATAAAGGAACTTTTATTATTGCTTCTCTAATACATTTGTGAGTCATTCTCTAAAAGGATTGGTTTATGCTGTTAGGAAGTACAGAAATCCAAGAAAGGCTGACATATCAGTAAGTTACGACACATGGGCCCAGGAAAAAAATAGTACAGCAATTTCATCATAATTAAAAATGTCACAGAAAAGAATAGCTTGAAAATATTAAAATACCTTTGTAGTTTTTAATAAATTTTGCTACTTTCCTTTTAAGTGACTTAGACAACTAAGCAATTTGGCTAAAGCCTACAATTTTTCTGAGAATTAATGAATGCCTAGAAGGAATTGACAGTCATAATTTACAGTACAGAGCTTGCAAGGAACTGCCAGAAAATCTCTGGGGCAAAGGATGATGTTGCTTATTTGAAACAAGCGGATGATACACAGCCAATTAAAGAAAAGGTTGATTTCTTTTGTTGATCATTTGTGGATTAAATACTGGGAATATTAAACAATTTGTGTTTGCAACACATGAAATTACTCCATTCCATTTATAGAATTTTAATACATTTGCTTTTGAACTCCTGACCTGTGTTCAGTGCTACATATTTGCACTCCATATGCAGAATTGCATTTTGCATCATTGTTGATTTATGTTAAAGCTTATATTGTACAATCTATTTAGTTCAGTCATGATAATGGCATATATAAAATTGGTCTTCCAAGAAAAATCTCTGTGCCTATTTTAACAAACTAGATTATATACTGGCATTGTGTATGTGTTAGTCTGATGTTTTTTGTTGGAAACTGGTGTTGGGGCTAAATATGAAAATACATTATATTAAATTATATTAGAATTGCTGCCTAGAATCAGAATGTGTATGCAAAACATTTCAAATGTTCATGTTCTATAACTAAGAAAACAAAGAACAATTAATTTTAAACTTGGCATTGTGCTATAAAAGCATGCCTTCACGCTAAATCAGTTTTCATACTTGGTTCACAAGACAAACTTGATCCCATGCGTTCTCCTGAAGTATAAAAAATTGCCACAGCGCATTTACAATACCTGCAGAAACCACACAGCTAAAAGGGAGAGCTGGATGTTTTTCTTCATTGTATTTGTTATTTTCCAAATACAATAGAATTTGTTGAATTCCAAATCAGTAGTATCAGAGGTGATACTGAGAGAACAGTGTCTGCTGCTACTAGTGATGCATGCAACAAAAAAATCCACTTTTTGATATAGAAGTGTAGATATAAGGAACCTTACTTGGCTTATAAAATGAGCTCATTTTGCCTAGAAGAAACCAAGAGATAATAACAGAAGATTCTGATAATTTAAATTACCCTTCAGAGAATACAAAAATCCCCACCATATTTTATGAAGATTTTTAATAGTATGTCTGTTTGACTAAAATAAGATTTTGTATGTATCAGTGCATTCAGGCCCATTTATAAAAATTCCAGTGCTTGAACATAGAGAAGGATCATTTGATACAATTACTTGAGCAGATTTTCATTGTTGCCAGTATTTAGCTTTCGAAAATGCATGTTTCAGCCAGAATACAAGATTAAAAGAGATTATCTGTTGCTATTACTGCATTTCCTATCCTCTTTCTACCAGTCTTTTAAATAAAGAAAAGACAGCTTTGCTGCGTGTCAAGAATCAAATGGCAGCAGATTTGGAGAGACTTCTAAATCACCGTGAGGTAATCTTCCTGTTTTAGCATTACTGCCATAAGTGCATTTTTTGTCTCCTCAGCCTTAAACCATGGGGAAAAAAAAAATGGTTTACTTTGCTTTGTTGGGTTTTTTTCTGTCGTTTTCAGAAACACAGGTGATCATCTCTGTCACACACCCAGGAGGCTCTCAGTTGTACTTTCAGTTGCTAGATTTTCTCTGTTGACTTTGTCTTACTGTTCTTTCTTTTCTTATGCACACAACAGACATGCGTCAAAGTGTTTAGCCTTAGCAAGCACTTAAGTATTTAGATAAAGGTGATGAAGCTGATGCACATGTAACCTGCAGGGCCTGCATGTACCACAGTATGGCCCCGAACCTTTCCCTGCTCTACAGTCATCGAGACCAAAAACTTGGACAAAACATGACATAATTGATTTCCAGTACACACATCTGAGTTCCTTTTCAACTCCAAAGTAGGATTTGGGAAGAGGAAACAGGATGGTAGTTACCCAGGTTTCCTCTAGGCAAGAGTCAGGGTGCTTCTGAAATACACTCTCAGATATAAAAGTATGCAAAATCTTGCAGTTTAGAGATAAATGCACTATATGGGGATTTCCCATTGTCAAGTTTTCTCTCTGGACAGTCTTAAGAGACTTAACATGCCATGGAGTATGAGTGAAATTCTTTCTGCAGATTAAATGTGCGAAACAAAGGATGAAAATAAATACTGAAGTTTACCAAAAGAATCCCATACACATATGATGTGAAAAAGAGTGAACAGCAATACAAGAAGTTTGAAGATACAAAACCGAAAACTGACCATGAGCAATTGTTAAATGATCTCCCAGAGTTCGTGCATGATTTGACAAGGATTTGCAGAGAAAATAATCAAAAATTATGAATGTGATTAAAAAACAACAAAAGTTGTATATATACAGTGATGTGACCTAAACAGCCTGTTACATGTTCAGAAAGATCATTCTAGAGTCAAGTCATCAATAGTTCCACCCTTTCAGTTCTCTAACTGGGAAGAGAGGAGAAGATGGGGAGATTCCTTTCAAGGAATCTGCAACTCCCCTAAATTATCCCAAGACCTCATTATCACTCATTCCAATACCATTATTTCCATAGAAAACTGGCTATTCATGCACCTCTTGAAGTCCTCTGCAAAATTGTTCTCCTCTATCTCCTTTCCTTGCTATTCTCCCAAATTCCCTTCTTAGATCAGTAAAACAAGCCCATGTTGTGAATTGGTCCAAACCAGTTTGTCCCTGCTGACCAAGTTACAGAACCATTTTTTGCTAGAACCAAACTAAAACAATTTCACTGATAGCTGAGTCTAAGTAAGCCTCAAGTGAAAACTGTGCTAACTCTGTTCTCTGAGTGCAGATCTCAAATGTGAAACAGGCACCTTAAACAAAAATAAAAAATAAAAACAGTTCCCAAGGTGTTTACTTTCTGTGCAGAATTGCACTGTATGTTTGATGCAGTTTCCTCCTAGACTACTTTTTGCATTTAATTCTCCGAATTGATTGTAGTGCTTGTGAAGTTCCAGGCATAGACTTTTAAAAAGTCTGCTGACAGAAGAGAATAATTGAACGTGGTTCCCCACAGTGCAGGTGTCATTGACCTGGCAGGATCATGTAGGTGCAACAGAAGCAATCATTCAATAGCTCTTATTTCTGATGTCTGAATCCACATCGTACATTTAAATTTCGAATTCAAGACTGAGACTAAGCCAAATGTTCAGTTTGGGTGATATTTGGGTTTGCTTCTTCATTTTTTTTGTGATTCTTTTTTTTGTTTATGTAAAACTCACTGCTTTCTATTAGTGTAACAGAAAACCTTTAAAGCATTTCTAAATCATTTATAAGCGTTATCATTATATTGGTGCATTATCATATCATTATATTAATGATACGAAAAATACTCTGAGGAAACACGACTTAACTGTATAAACATGTAGTGAATTTTCTAAATATCCAATATAACAGGTCCTTGGCAGGCTAATTTCAAATTAATTTCTGTGAGAATTTCCTCTTCCTACTCCTTCTCTCCCATGTAGCACTGCTCCCAAGTAGTTATGCTCTCAAGCAGTTACGCCTTGGGTGCCTAGTTTTAGTAGTGTGGTATCAAGCAGCACGCATTGCAGCTGATGAAAATCAGTAGAAAGTTATAAATGAAGGTAAAACTTAACTATGTTTTGTAAGAAAACTATAACATTTTTACTTCAAAGCTATGCAACATTGTTTGCATCCAAACAACATTAGCCCCTGTGACTACTGACATAAATAATTCCTGATATGCAGCAGTTTCCTTCTTTGTGTTTTTACACAACTCAATATTTTTAGACTGTGGCTGAGTGAAAAAGAAACTACTTGAGTCTGAAACAGACTTTGTCTTGAATGTTCCTCCTGCCCTGGATGTTAAGAAATTGAGCAAATATTTCCAAAATTATTACAGTTTTGTCAAATTCTGTATATTAGTCATGTTGTTTTACCTAACAGTGATAATGTTTTTTCAAGTCGCCTGTGCAAAAAAGGATATAAATACTGAAAAACAAACATCAGAAGTTGCATGTTTGGGGGAAGAAAATAATTAAATGTCATTATGTGGCACAAATAAGCCCTAAAAAATACAAAAATATGCTGAAGTCATTTTAGAAAATGTGTGAAAATAGCAAGTGTGTGTGTGTATGTTTAACTTTTGTCATTTCTGTTGATTCCTAATGCAGCCTTTTATATTTTACTTTTAGTGCAAAGCTTTCCCAGTAGTTTCACAGTTTACGTAATTCTCTGAAAGGCAATTATCTCATGTACTGAAATCTTTCTACAGGCTAGGGCAACTTAGTCTACAGTGAATCAGTCTTCAACTAATTTTTTTTAGCCATCTTATCAAAAAAGATAAATATGCAGAACATCACAATTTCACACTAAAAATCCCTGCTAAAAGAGAAAGACAATCCAAATTTTCTAATCTTGTGCTAATAAAGACTTGGCTTTATTTACACAAGGTATAGATTTTTTAAATAAAAATAACTTGCAGTCTGTAAATACAGATATATACAATTTGAAAAAAAAAAGAATTACAGTTTTATGTGTTCTGTACGTGCTATCATGTAATATGATTACTATCAGTCTTGTTAAGTCATCGCTCATACTAAACTGTCATGTCTCCTTAGAACTTACCTTGTTAGATTCATGTTTGCAAGTAAAAACATTAGAGTTCTTGAATACATAAACCCAAGATATTAATAGTTAACATAAAGAGAAGTTTAGGTATGTTAGAAGTACAAGGAAAATGCCAAAACAATGTTAATGCTGTCTTACAGCAACATGTTTCAGTAATACACAGTTTTCACTTAAGGTATTTCAGCCTGTGTGGTCTGAGACTGTATTAACTCTTTTTAATGAAATGTTAGAGTTTGAGGGGTTGGGGTTTTTTTTTATTTTTATCTGCTTGTGATATCAACTGGATTCATTGCTTGGGAGGTAATTACAGCATTTTATATACTTCTTAGATAAAGAAATAAATTCATGCTTAGTCTTACTTTTTTCATTTATTTTAATTTTGGAAGTAAAAAGCTAAGTATTCAAGTCTGAATCTTGGAAGAATTCATATAGGGCTCTTATGTGAACTCTTTTGTTATAGGAAAAACATGACAGTAAATATTCATGTAATAAAATACTTCATTACTTCAAATTATGTAGACTAAGATAGTTTGATGATGATGGGAAATTAAGGTGAAAATTGGTCATTTGACTATACATACTCTAAAAAGGTTGGGTCCACCCATACAGGAAAAAAAATGAAGCTTTTTTTTAGCCCTGTGTTCTTAGCCCAAATTCTTAATTGTTTCTTGGCCTTCTATTCTCCTGTTTTTCTGAATTAATTAGTAAATGCATGTGGAAGAGTTTTTAATCTAGCTTCTCACTGAGATTACTGAGAATCGGCTGGCACGGTAAAATTTCTTATCTTCTTCATATGGATAAATGTGGACTTCACTATTTGAGAGGGAGTTTGGTGGCATTAACATGAATGATCAGTGTCCAGGATCACGCTAAGCTCACGTCCTTAGAGGTTCAAAATAAAGGTACCACAGTGCTGCTGCCCTCTTTGAGCTGTCTGAAGGAACTGGGGTGTGCAGTGTTGTGATGCCATTTGTAAGCCCCTCCATGCACGATAGCAGGTACAGTTAGTACAGCCAGATTTTTTTCAGCTGATTTCAGGCTAAGAAATTTTATATGTTTTGTCTAGATAACCCATAAGGGGTTTAATTGTTTTTCTAGATCCATCAGAAGAGCATAAAACATTGTTTGGAGGAACAATGGGGTCTCCCATTAATAACCTTCTTCACAATAAACAGTGTTTGTGTTTTTTTAAAAAAGGATATTTCAAATCCAGATTTTTTTTTCCGTTATTATTAGTAGTCTGTGTTCCCTTTTTAATCAGCTGAACCTTTACCCTTTTGACCCTCTATCTTTAACTGCGGATAACCAAACCAAAGACATAAAACAAGACTTGTCTTGATTCTTCCCACTTTAACTTCAGCACTTAACCCCCCAAAATCTAGGTGTTCCTGCTCCGGCAGGGGCATTGGACTAGATGATCTTTTGAGGTCCCTTCCAATCCCTAACGTTCTGTGATTCTGTGAAAATGTGGACCCTTGTTGCTCCAGTGTCTTTGTATAGTCAGGGGAGCCCGAGTAAGAAGTATGCTCCATCGAAGCATAAATCAAGATGAAATTACACGTTGTGCCCACATTGACCCAATAGCTATGACGACACCTTACTTCTTTGCTCCTGATGCTCCTTCTCTCTCCTCCTCTTGCACCAGCTTTGGCACATCTCTAATCCTGCACTGGGACCATTCAGATCACTAAACAGAAACCTAACCTGTCCAAAAAAAGAAAACCACAAAAGTGAATTCCTCTCTGTTAGGTTAGCAGTTTGAATCACCTTTGGAAAGTGTCCAGCAAGGAAAAGAGCAAGTAACAATATTTTTATACATATAAATATATTTCAATATTACTTACCTGTGAAAA